TGTATAACCCTGAGGATCGCCTTCCATTTCCATGCAATTTCCCTTCTCACTCCCTTTCCCTCCCACCTCTCATCCCTGTTTAATGTAAATCTTCTTCTCAAGCTCTATTGAGTTGTTTCTAAGACACGTGCCATCTTTGCACCTACCTCATTCTGCTTTGACAGTAACCACAGGAAATTATCAAATTGTTGTGTTCATTAATAAATAAGTTAATCAAATAGAGAACTTATGTTTGTTTTTGTCACTTAATATTAAGCTAGTTGACTAAATTTGTTCTGGAGTAAAGCACCTGCAAACTTCTAACTGTTCTATGTATAATCACAGAGGATGAACTTAATCTCCAGTTACCACATTGTGACAACCTGTATGAAAGGTTGTCTAAATGTTGTCTATGAAAGAATCTCCTTATTGACCCCATTCCCAGAGGGTGTGGGTGTGGGGCTAGTTCTAGGCATTTCTTTAAGTATGGAACGATAGACTTTCAGAGGAAACAAGACATCAGTAAGTACCATGTTGTTTATATTAACCTTGTAGGTACAGGGAGCCAGTGTAGTTTGCAGAATCTCTCTCAAATGCTTAGTTTCATGATTCCTGCAATTTCCTACTCATCACCTTTCTTTTCTAAAGATAAGTACTATCCAAATTGCTTATATTAGCTCTGTACCACAAGGGACATTTCTGGGACATGTAATAGAGATGCAAACAATAAAGAAGTTAGGAGTGATCTGGGAGCCCGTCTCACTTCCTGTGAAATCACCAAAGGAAGGGTATAAAACACTAAAAAAGGATGTTAGCCTTCTGAGTAGCCAATTTCTAATATTGGCATGTCTGTAAGAAATTGAGTACAGTAAAGATTTGATGGATCAAATCATGGAATTCATCAAGAAACCAGGGAATCATGTGAACATCATGCATGTTGAGTATAGATTTCTCATGCTGTCAATCTCTCCTGGCCTCCACTATACATTTGGTGGGATATTTTAGATCTCAGTGACCTTGGAGGATGTGGCTGTGAACTTCACCCAGGAGGAGTGGGCTTTGCTGGATCTTTCCCAGAAGAACCTTTACAGAGATGTGATGCTGGAGGTCCTCAAAAACCTGGATTCAATAGGTAATAATGATGTTTCTAAAATTAATCAAATAGAGAACTCATGTTTATTTTGGTAATTTATGTAGACGGTGAAAAGGGAATCAGTTGGTGAATTATTGCAGCAAAAATGGAACCTCTGATTTGGCAAAGCATTTCTAGCTCCAAAATATTCATAAAGATTGTTTTGTTCTCTCATTTTAGAAAACAGGTGGGAAGACAAGACCACTGAATATCAGATTGAAAACTCTGGAAGCAATGTAAGGTAACTATACTCACAAGAGGAATTTGTGAGGGAATTTGAGAACTGTTATATAATTTTTAAAGCAAACCAACTGAAAAAGTATGCATAATAAGAAAAGTATTTATTCTTACAATATTTTTTACCAGAAATATATACCTAGGTGTAACAGATATTCAGTCTTTTCAAAGTATTTGACATGCAAAAAGTACTATAAAATTGCATATGTGAATATCACTATATGGATAATAGCCACAGAGAAGCTGTGTTGCAAAGGATTGTTTCCTTTCAATCTCTTTATTTTCAGGCAAGTTGAATAAGTCAGAAAACCTAGCCTTTACCTGATGTTGGCAGTAATGTAAGGATGTATAAATATGTAGAAAATTGTGAATGAATTAAGCATTGATTATGTGCTGGTCACTTCTTCAAAGAAGTCATGGTAAACTTCAAAGGCACAGAATAGTGTGGGGAAAACTTCAAATCAATTCCAATTCTTTATTGAACAAAGAAATATTTTAATATAGTAAATCCATGTGACTTCATTATGTGTGCAAAAGACTTCATATGACCTTCATTCCTTCAGGCAGATCACATCTCACTCTGGACACCAACACTACAAGCATGAGGAATGTGAAGAGAAGCTATGTGAATTGAAACAATATAGGAAATCTCTGGTTTCTCT